CCAGGCTCAGGGGAGCCCTGTGAGCTGCGTGAGGTGGTCCTGGGCATTAGATCACACTTGCTCGCAGCGGCGGGGCAGGCATGTGGCATCGCTCAGCAGCTGGATCCTATACATGAGTTTAGGTCAGTGCGCAGGGCCGGACCCAGTAGGCCACATCACTTCTGCAGGCCAACCCTGCGCTGGGTCAGGCCTACCTTGCGTGTCAGGGTTCAGCCCGCAGACCAGTCCCTGGCCACTCATCTGGCTCATGGGGCTGGGCTGGGAAGTGGAGTGGCACTGATCTAAAATTATTTCACGCTGGGGTATCGTGGCATAATGGCTCTGTTCCAAAAAAGTGCCTTTTATCACGTTTTTCTGATTTTAAACTCTGACTGTTTTTTAAGAAATGGAATCACTGGCAGAACATGGTATCTTCTTGCCTCTGAATATGCAAGGTCTGACTGATGAGCAGATTGAAGAATTGAAGCTAAAGGATGAGTGGGCAGAAAAATGCATCCCAAGTGGTGGAAGTGTCTTTAAAAAGGATGAAGTTGGAAGAAGAAATGGACATGGTAAATGCATCTTGATATACCTCTCTCTGTATATGAGCACAATTAAGGCAGGGTTTCATGAGCAGCGTAAAATTAATTGATATTTTAGCTAAATGCTCTTGAACATCGTAAATGTGGACTTCTGATTTTGTCTCGGAGTTTTTAAACAAGAGAAAAGCAAGTAAATATTAGTGTATGCTTTAACTTATACCAGTGAAGTATATTAGCTGTTCCTGTTCCTGAACAATTATTTGTTAGCTAGTTGCATATAAGTCTGTTTTATAAAAGATTTTTTCTAATGGCACTCTAACTGCCTTTTTATAACAATTGGGGAGCAACAACCAAAACTACTTGTTTGGATGTACAGGTTTCCCTCGCTTTATGCTATACGTGTGTTCCTGCGAAACGGCCCATAACTTGAATTCGCATAAAGGGAACCCACTTTTATAATGTAACAAATAAGGATATGTTCCAAGACCTTGACTGTACTAACCCCCAGACCCGTTTCTACTGGGGCTAAGGGGGCTCAGCCTCCCCAAACACGGGGCTGCAGGCTGCAGGAGGGGCAGAGAGAGGTGTGCACGCAGCTGGGATTGCAGCCCAGCAGAGGTGTCTGGCATTGCGCTTTGCCCCCAATTGCAGCTGCCCCAGGAGCGGCACTGCTGGTTGCACCGCATCCCTGCCCACTGACTGGGCTTCCACCACACCAATCGTGTAAGAGTGAATTTAACTTGCATAAAAAGGGTCATTGCATAAGAGCGAATTCTCACATACAGGACCTGCATAAAGCAGGGGAAACCTGTAGTCTCATGAGAAATTAAGCTACCATCTTGAACACTATCACAGTGATGATGATCAAGTAATTATAATCTGAAATCTGTATTGCATCCAGACAAAGCCTTTGTTAAAGTTGTAAAGTTAAATTCTCAAAAAATTAAGAAATGTCAAGGCTAAAAAGCAATTACTGGGAAAGTCCCATTTAACCCTGTTAATCCTGGGCATCAAGGTGTTCCAGCCAGATGGAGTGTTTGGAAAACTCAGTAATAAAGTTGTAACGGAGCATATGCAAATTGTTCATTCAGAGGCTTAGGCAGAAATTCACAAAAATGGCAAAAATACATGTCTCTTGACTCATAGACCACTCCCTTTCAAATTGCAAGTTCCTGAACCAAAGTACAGGCTAGCACTAGAATTTCTCAGTGAACTGGTGTAAGGATTTTTTAATATTGAAAAGACAGCCTGTATATAGTCCGTTACCTTTATTCTCAGAAATGGCTGGACCATTTTAACTTAGTTTTTGTAAAAACATGAAAACCTTAGCGTGACATCTTCTCACAGCAGGAGGATTTCAGCCCACATGTTTAAAGTTCAGCAAAGTGGTAAGTAGTTCATTTCATTGGGTCTTAAAATGGAATAGGTAAGGCATCCTGAACTGGGAATCAGTGGATTGGCATTTGCTGCTAGGAGTAACCTTTTATTAGTACCTGAATTTGAAATCTATTAGAAATGTAGACTGTTACTCCAATAAATTACAAATACATTTTAGCTTTTACACTTTCATGTCTCTGAACTATGCGCTCAGTTATTCTGCTTTGTACAAGTAAGAGTTAAATGGATTTTGGAAATATTTTTTTAGGGGTGCACCAATAGATTTTTTGGGGACCATATCAGCCCATAATGATGGCTGATTTTTAAGGAGCCATATCAACTGATACCAATCCAATTCCGATATGCAGCCAGGCAGCTTGGAGACCAGGGCTGGGCTGGTAAGTCTGGTGTGAGGGAAGGGGAGGTGGGGGGAGGGCAGATCAAGGTCTCAGCGGTGAGGGAGGGAGAGTGGGGCTGGGGCAGGTGCTGCACAGGATGGGGCTGTGAGCGGCTTGACTGGGTGGGGGGTGGCTCCTGCCGCAGCACACACTCCAGGAGGGCACAGGGGGTATGTGCCCCTGGATCTGCATGCCGAGGTGGTGCTGGGCTCTTCCTGGCAGGGGGGGCTGGGCTTGGGCCAGGTGGCAGTGGTGCTTCTGTCCACCTTAAGCACAACCTGGCTCAACAGCCCCGCTGGGAAGAGCCTGGCACCACCCAGCCCATAGTGACAGCACACCCTGCCCAGTGTGCAGATCTGGGGGCGCATGCCCTTCTGGGCTGCACGTAGCTGCAGGAGCTGCCGCGCCCCCCTCCCTCGGTGAGCTCTCTGCAGTGCCCTACCCGGGCAGCGCCTGCCCCTGCCCTACTCCATTCCTCACCACGGGCCTCAATCTCTTCCCCTTCCCTCTCCCCACCTCTTCCCCTACAACAGATTTACCAGCCAATGCTGCTCTCCAAGCCACTGGGCTGCATTCCTGGTTGCATTTTGAACCCGAAAGCTTGCTTAATAACTATTCTCCAGCCATTTGGGTTGGTCTAATAAAAGATATCAAATTCACCCAAGGAACCTTGTCTGCAGTGGCTGTGTGCATTCATGGGGCATTTATTGGCCACATCAGGCAAAAAAAGCTGATTTCTGATGCAGTCAGTTTTCCCTATATCAGTGTCAATCTGATATGGGACCAGTGTATCGGTGCACCTCTAGATTTTTTTAAAACAGTCAAAATAGAGAATTATGTTTAAATATTCTATAGTTACTGGTTGATCAGGCATATTCACTTTATACCTTTATTAACTTTGCTTACATTTTTCTGTTTGGGGCCCCAAACATTTCATAATTGTATGCCATGTTGTTCAGATTATAAATTGACCACATATTTTTAGGTTCAGTCTGAGGAAAAAACAGTGTTTCCCCCCTGAATATAAGTTGACTGCAGATAAAGTGTTTGAATTGCTGTTACTCTTACAAAATCCCAAAAGAAAGTTAAATAACCAATGAAAAGATGCAAAGGATTACATGCGCTGAATATATTAAAATAAAAACTGCACTGAAAAATAATTCTGATTTGGAATTTTTATAATGTGTCCAAAAACACGGCAAGTACAAAAGTCAAGACTGTTTGGGGCCTGGTTATACATCCACCCTGTGCATAAATCAGTTGATTCTTCTGAAGAGGAAAAAAAAGATTGACTGATAAACAATAGATGCAGGCATGTGTTCTGTTTGATCTTAAAAGTCACTCCAAAACATCCAGTCATGAGGCAAAAACATTTTGTTTGTACACTGATAATTCATAGCTTTAAGAGAGAAATTCAACTGAATGTGTGTCCTACCCAAAGGACAGGTGCTATTACTTAGTTTGAAAAAGCCTCTAAGAAGAAATATCGTTGGAAAACAATATGCTGTGTGTGCTATGTTATGTTTCTTTGACATCAAAAACAAGTTAGCCTTCCAAATATAAATACTGCCATTCCTGCATGGAACTACATATATTTATCTATTTTGAGAACTGATTTGTCATGTGGATGTATTCTTAACAATTTATTAACTGCTCTGTGGAGTTACCATATTTACTTGACAAGGTTCTTTTCCCCGTTTGACATGAAGGGGGACAAAAGCCCCTCATCTGGAGTTTGGGTATCAGGTGGGGGTGGGGCAGGCAGGCAGCTTCTCTAGCTCCAGCTCTGGTCCCAGCTGCAGCTTCCACCTGTTAGCCTCACCCTCTCTTCCACAGTGCTGCTTCTTCTGCCCCGCGCCCCCCATCTGCCCTCTACTTCATCGTACCCCCACTGCTTACCCTTGTTCTGAATCTGGCCCTGCTCCAGCATGGAGTATGGAGTCTGTATTTGCTCTGGCCCCAACCTGGCTTAGTAGCAGAGGTGGCAGCAGCTCGGGCCCCAGAGCCAGAGCTAAAGCTGCCACCACTGCTACAAGCTGCTGGGCTGGAGCAAATACATGCTCCATGCCCCAGCCTGGAGTGGGGCCAGAGCCTGCCGAAGCGGAACAAAGGTAAGGAGGCGGGGAGTGGAGATGGCATGGGGGAAGGGGAACTAAAGTTCTTACATATAGAACCATAAAAAAAAAAAATGGGCTGGAAGGGACCTTTGGAAGTTATCTAGTCCACCAGGCTGCCTGAGGCAGAATCATCCCTATCCAAACCATCCCGTATAAATCCTTGTTTAACCTATTACTAAAACCACAGAGTCAGCCCTGTCACACAGCTACAAGGCATAGCACCCTAACCTGCCATAGATAAAGCCAGGGTGACAGTGGTGGTCAGTGTCCTACTGCTGCAAGGGTTGTTAAAATCTACTTGAGAGATCCATGGAAGAGGGCCGTACCCTTTGCTACAGAGGAAGGCAAGAATCCCTACAGTTAATATGGCCACAACTCCTGGATGACCAATTCAGGCTCAACATTGGGAAAAACTTCTTCACAGTCGCGGTGTCCAGACTGGAATAAGCTCCCTCCAGAGGTGGTATAATCACCTACCCTGGAAATCACGAAGAGGAGACTGGACAGTCACCTTGCTGGGGTCACATGACCCCAGTTATCTTTCCTGCTTGGTGCAGGAGGCTGGACCCAATGATTTTCCAAGGTCCCTTCCAGCCTTACAATCGATGAATATCAATCTCACCATGGGGTAATATTCCTTCTCAATCCCAAATGTGGCAAGTGGTTTAATCCTGAGTGGAGGGGGCTAGCCAGGAATCTGCAGGCCTAAATACCAGCAGATGCAAAGTCACACTCCAGTCACAATTCTCAGCCTTGGCTGCAGCCAACACCCAGTGCTCCTGAGGAAGGCAGAAAAGCCCACAAAAATAAAAACCTGACACCTTAGCAACAGGAAGGGGGAAAAATTCCTTTCTAGCCCTCTGTGGCAACCAGCAAAGTCTGGAAGCATGGGAAATACTTGTAGCATAGCAGCTACTCCTAGATTATCATTAGGCTGAAACTAATTTATTTACAGTAGGAATTTTTTTAGAATAACCTGTCTGATGCCTTACTGTGTTAAATATGCCTCTCTTATCTCTAAGCCCCAAATGAAAAAATGAAGGAAGTTCTAAAAAAGACAATAGAAGAAGCTAAAGCATTAATCTCTAAGGTAAGATATTTTTAAATGACCCGTTTTTCAAAAATGTGATGAATGCTGCCTAGCTTTGCTATTAAAAAATGACTGACTTCTTCATTTCAGTGCAAAGGGCAGTAATTTTCAGTAGTAATGTATAATAAAAACTAGGAAAAGTATAATAACTGTGAAACTACTGTTAATCATTTTCTTAATGGCTTGTTGGCAAGCTGTTTCAGCAAGTGACAGAATGAGATATTAAACTCCAAGTGGATACTGGCAGCACATACTTCACACTAAATGATTAAACCCCATTTGCTTCCATCCACATATTCTTAATGTTTTTGTTGTTGATGCATTCTTTATGTGAATGCTTGTCAAGTTTTCAAGTGAAAAATTAACTGCGTTCCATGAACTACTTAGATTAAAATGCCTTTTGCTCATTAATATAGGTCTATTGGAATTATATATATAATTATTGTTTCAAAATGTTATTTATGCTGATCTTTTCTTACCATGGGCCAGTTCATGTTAAGCTTTTGATTCTGCCAGAAATCTGTGTACGTGCTTAGCTGTAAGGCTATATGTATCACACTGATTTCACATGTGTGAAATTAAGTATGTTTTATGTTTTTTTGCAGAGCTGTAGCCTAACATAGTTTGAATTCATTTTAAGAATATTTGTATATTAACACACAATTTGTTTTACATTGAGGTGTAAATTAAATAGCTTTTTATTCATTTACTCTTCCTTGTAAACCAGACATGCAAAAGTGTATATTTTCCTGTTTGTGGAATATTTCACATCTTTTGATATCAATGCTGTCTTATTTTTTCAGATTTTGGGATTGTTGAATCCCCCAAGTTTAACTCTTGTTATCTTTGCCATTAAGCTAGATCAGGTCTGGGTTAGTCTTCAAGTCTTCTGACTATGACAGAGCCACAGGTTCCTAACTCTCCCTAATCACATTACATTTTGTTTTTTCTTTCGGGATTACCATCTGTGAGACTTGACCCCAGTCCATCTTGATTGTTTAAAGCAGGTGATGTGGCTGTGAATTAAGGAATTATGTGCTGGTTCCATAATGCCATATGGAGATTTTTAGGTTCCCACCTAGTAAAAGGTTTGAACATGTTCAAACATTTTTCCCTTCAAGAAATTGCAACTTGATGATAATAGACTTATTTTCAATTATTGCCCATTCATAAACCTTCTCAGTTTTAGCAATGTGATTTGGAAAGTAGTGACTATGCAATTCATGTTCTGCCTAGAGGCCATTGACGTCTTAGATGAGTTCCACTCTTGGTTATGGTCTTCCATTGGAGTTGTACCCGTGCTTACAGAGGCTGTAGTTTTAGATTGTTGTCATTCAGCCATTCTGACCATGCTGGAAATCTCAGAAGCTTTTAGTTCAATTTATTGCAAGTTGCTTCTGCAGCAAGGGGCCTCTGACTGCCCTCAGTAACTTGAGACATTTTATGGGCAAGTTTGATCATTGTTCTGTGCATATATACAATGTTTTAGCAATATCATTTTAAATAGAACCAGTTGAAAGTAGGAGTTTGTAAGATGTTTGTTTGTTTTTGTTTTGGATCACTTCAGACCAAAGCAGTTTTTTCCCCCCTGGAATTTCTCACAAACCAGGGCCCCAGTTCTTGCAGCTGTTCAGTGGAATTGACAAATAATGGCTGTAAAATTAACATTCTTTTCAGTTTCATTATGCAGCTCCATGGGGCTTCCAGAGTTTCTGGCTCTGGGGCTGTAACGCACCTTGGATTCAGAAATGTGTCATACCTGAGGTGTTTCAAATGAAACATTTTGGGCTTGGTGAACTTGCGTTTTCTCTTGAACCATTGTGTCCTCAGATCTTTTGTGATTGGCTCTATTTCTAAATATAGGGAAAAATATTTTTATACTACTGATACAGATTTCTGTATCTCTTGCTGAATTAAATACTGCACTTTTGGTCTCTGTTCTTCAGGAATGTATAAAAGAAATTTCTACTTTGATACTGGATTGTCACTTCCAGTCCAAATTGTTACATTGTATTGCTGTGTTGTACCCAGAAGTTGCTAGACTTTAATAGTGGATGAAATTGTTTGGAAGACACAGCTTATTAAGTGCTCTGTTTTCCTTTCAGATTTAATTGAAAAATTGTTTTATTATTTTAATATATATTGTGTGGGCAAAATACCCAAAATATGGTCTGCTTAATATAAAAAAAGCTAAGACATCAAATCAAAGAATTGGTCCAGACTGATAAAAATAGAGAGGTGTATTTCGGACGACATTTGATCTTTGAGATTAAGGAATGGTGTACTGCATAAGCCTGTGATTGCAGAGCCACTGGCCAGTTATGTTTAAAAACTCGTGGTGAGCAAAAGTCCCAGACCATTGGAAAAGGGCAAATATAGTGCCCATCTTTAAGAAAGGAAAGAAGGAGGATCCAGGCAGGGGCAACGCGTAGGGGGTGCAAGCGGATGCACATGCACCCCCTGAGCATGGCAGTGCACCCCCACTGCTGGTGGCATCTGCGGGCAGTCTGCAATCCCCACTTGCTGCTGCTGCCCCTTGGTCGGTGCTTGCCACTCCGCCGCCGCCATCAGTGGCGTCTGTGGGAGCTCCCCTGTTTTACGACCACTGCGTTCCTGCCGTTGCCACAGCGCTCCCGCCATTGCCGCTGTGTCCCCGCAGATGCTGGGGGTCATGAGTCATTCATGGATCCAGGGAACTACAGATCAGTCAATCTCACCTCAGTCCCTAGAAAAATCATGAAGCAGGTCCTCAAGGAATCCATTTCTGTGCACTTGGAGGAGAAGTAGGTGATTAGGAACAGTTGACATGGATTCACCAAGGGCAAGTCATGCCTGACCAACCTGATTGTCTTCTATGATGAGATGACTGGCTGTGTAGATGTGAGAAGAGCAGTGGACATGATATACCTTGACTTTAGCAAGGTTTTGATATGGTCTCCCACATACCTGCAAGCAAGCTAAGGAAGTATGGGTTGGATGAATGGATTATAAGGTGGATAAAAAACTTCCTGGATCATTGGGCTCAGAGGGTAGTAGTCAATGGCTTGATATCTAGTTGGTAGCCGGTATCAAGTGTAGTGAGGGGTTGGTCCTGAGTCTGGTTTAGTTCAATATATTCATCCATGACCTAGAAGATGAGAGAGAGTGCACGCACAGTAAGTTTGCATATGACACCAAGCTGGGGAGAGTAATAGATAAGCTGGAGGGCAGGGATAGAATCCAGAGATACCTTGACAAATTGGCGGATTGGACTAAAAGAAATATCATGAGGTTCAATAAGAAGTGCAAAGTCCTGCACTTAGGACAGAGCAATCCCATGCACTGCTACAGGCTGGGGACCAACTGGCTAAGCAACAGCTCTGCAGAAAAGAACCTGTGGGTTACAGTGCACAGTAAGCTGAATATGAGCCACCAGTATGCCCTTGTTGCCAAGAAGGCTAATGGCATACTGGACTGCATTAGTAAGAGCCTTACTAGCAGATCAAAGGAAGTGATTATGCCCCTCTATTCAGTACTGGTGAGGCCATATCTGGAGTACTGTGTCCAGTTTTGGGCCCCCCACTAGGCTTATTTAGTCTGGAGAAGAGAAGACTGAGAGGGGATTTAATAGCAGCCTTCAACTACCTGAAGGGTGGTTCCAGAGAGCATGGAGCTAAACTGTTCTCAGTGGTAGCAGATGACCGAACAGGGACAATGATCTCAAGCTGCAGCAAGAAAAGTTTAGGTTAGACATTAGGAAGAACTGGAACTGGTTACCCAGAAAGAGGCTGTGAAATCTCCAACCTTGGAGGTTTTTATGACCCAGCTAGACAGTGTTGGGTGGTATGATCTAACTGGGGACAGTCCTGATTTGAGCAGGAGGTTGGACTCGCTAGATGAACTCCTGAGGTCCCTTCCAACTCTAATTTTCTATAATTCTATCAACTAGTAATGTCCACAAGGAGGCATTATTCTCTTAGCCTCCTTTTTTAACCCACCAGTACTGAACACTGGAGATGCAATATTTATAAATAAAATATTTCTATTTCAGCTTCATTTTATTTCTTTTTATTTGTTTAAATAATTCTAGTTTTGCCAAGCATTGCATTAAGAGTATATCTTGTATGTATTTTGCTGCTGCTTGTGTTTCATTTGTATATGAAAACTTATGTCCTTTGTCTAACCTTTATTTGACATTTACTGTTTTTTTTTTTTTTATAAGTTTCATCACAAAAGTTCAAAATAACAATTTTTCCACCCATTTTCTACTAGCATCTGTATACTTTCTTGAACTCTGCATTCCTTGGGTGCTCAGCACATCTAGCAGGCTGGATCCAGCCACAGACCTTCCCTGGATGCTGGCCCAATCTAGTGCACAGGGTGGCCTACAGAAATTCACACAAGTCTGGAAATTTGGTGGAGGAATGCTCCTCCACCCCCAAATTTAAAGACCTTTGGGGAGCCTCAGGGGCTGGCAGGCCAGATTCAGCCCACAGATTATAAATTGAGCACAATTGCCCTAGATACTATAATTTTTGTTTTAAAATTGTATAGCAGGCATTTCATGGATACTTGAAATGGCCCACCTTTGCTAACCAAATAGAATCAAAAAACAAAAGTTTGTTGAAATATGCAGCTGTTTCAGGAATTAGTGTTTAAAAAAAAGAATCAAAGGAGACATGCTTTTACTTAAGCTTCTGTTCAACCAGTTGGCTTTACTCAACTCAAATTTCATGAACGGAATGCAAACAGACTCTTTCCTCTTAATTTGTTATTTAAATGTAACAGTGGTTCTTTCCTGTATTTCAGAAACAAGTTCAAGCTAATGTGTGCGTTGGTATGGAAATGGTGAAAGATGCAGTGGACCAGCTCCGAGGAGCAGTGATGATTGTTTATCCAATGGGATTGCCTCCATATGATCCAATTAGAATGGAGTTTGAAGATAAAGAAGATTTATCTGGAACTCATGTATGCAGCAACATATTTTAACTACTTTATGAGTATCTGGCTTAAGTTTATATTTTTCTAGGCAAGGAAGAAGAAATTCTTCATTTTTACTTAAACTTATTTGAAGTCTGGCCTGTTTACTGATAGTATTTTGTTGATTTTTAAATATTTTGATTGTAAAATATTTTTTTAATGTACAGGCAACTCGGTTAACTAAAAATTAGATAGACAATTTAACTGATTACAGGATCACCCAACTTAAATTTTTAAGTTCATACCGTTTTATTTGTTTGCCCATCTTTAATAGTTTCTGTCTTTTGTGAGGGAAAAGGAGCAGGGTACAAATCAGTCTGGATAGTAGGCCCTGTATAAATTCTCTTCTCTTTAACATCTATTCTGTGAGGGTGAAATACAAGACACTGGGCTGGATGGACCTATGGTCTGATCCAGCATGGCGTTTCTTATGTTCTTTAGATCATCTGTGTGATGATAAAGTATTTTGAGTTCGCAAGCTGAACTGAGAATTGAGCATAGTGCTATTTGAAGGAAACAAGACACTATATGTTTATCAGTGAGGGAGAGTTAGGGTTTTAACACTGTTAATAAGTGTAAAATCAAGGGAATTACTTTAACTGGCCTTTTTGTTTTCTGTCTCAGAAGGATGTTCCAATCAGATTATTATGGAGTACTAATACACAATTATTTGTATACACTAACACACAATTCTCTGTATACACAAAAATTAAAAGTTTCATTTTTTTTCCTTGCATATTAAAATTATCACAGGCTGGACTTGAAGTTATTGCAGAAACAGAAGCACAATTGTGGTGGGCAGCAAAAGAATTAAAAAGAACAAACAAACTGTCAGATTATGTAGGAAAAAATGAGAAAACCAAAATCATTGTCAAGATACAGAAAGTAAGTACCATTAAAGTGCTTAAAGAGTACTGTAAGGCACTACATATGATTCAGCAACAGTTGTCAACTTTTTAATGATGAGAATTTGCAGTAATTTGGAATGTGTATCAGGTTAATTTTTAACTGAGGTCTGTGAATAATATGAACCAACACTGATTTAAAAGTTCCAACCAGTACAAGTATTCTGCTTTGTGAATTCCTTTGTTCCTCAGTGAAATATTTCCCTTATTTACTCCAGAATATATTTTTGCTAAGTACAACAAAAATGGTAAGCACCAAAGCCTTAGCTAGCTGGAAAATTCAGTATAGCTTTCTAATTTTAAGGAAATTGCTCTGAAGTTTTCTTCACTGAGTAATCATTATTCAGCTCTGACTTCCAGTGCATTGCATCCTATATGCATGAAATTAATTTCTTTTGGACACCACTGTCCACTGGCCATGCCTGCATCCTGCATGCTCTAATGCTACTGCCCCAGGGCATAAAGGATGGAGCAGACAGACTTAACTAGCCTTCAGTTCTTTTGTACTACCTGTAACGGCAAGGCCAGATCACTATATTGTCCAGCTCTCTGTATGCTGTATGACTCTCCTGTTTATGTAAGTAAGTACATGGATTTAGTGTTATACTTGTTCTTCTCAAAGTAGTGGTAGGGTCTTCCCTGGTGCTGTGATTATGTAGACACTACAGATAAAACAGTTTCCAGTCCTCAAAATGCCAACACACACACGGACTTGCAACGTCTTCTATTCAGTGATCTGTCCTCGTGGTTCCTTTCTTCTTTTGCCTTGGAGTTGGTCACATCCCTGATAGACAGTTAATTTGTTCCTCCTTCAAGACGACATAGAAGGTTAAAGAGGCTTAGCTTTAAACTCTCCCAGATCATTTAATAAATGCTTTCTCCAAGGAATAAAAAAGACTACTAGGCCTGAACAAACTTCTTCAGCTACTGCTTCCGTGAGTTGCATTTCAACCCTGAGCTCCCTAGTTAACTATTCAAAGAAATCAATTTTTTCAGTTACTAAGACTGACAGAGTAGCTAAGTCTTCCTGTGCTTAGTCATATGAAAGAGGTAGGAGGGAACATTTTTTCCCACAGTGTACACAGATCTTTGTCTCCAGGGACTAATAAAATGAATCAAGGTTTTCCTTGGAGCACTCAGACAAAAGATTGCCTGTGGCCTTCTGACACCTTGGCAAAATCCAGTGGTTTTCTGAGCACAGTGCTGTCTGAGCCTTGCTCAAGAAGTGCTAAAACCGGTGTACATGTTCCTGTTTCACTGTCCATATCTTGAACCTTCACTGTTGTTTTCACTGTCCATATCTTGAACACTAATCCCTACTGAGTTCTAAGCACTAATTTTCTTGGCTCTATTCTGTACCAAATTATCTTGCAATCACTGTACAACCTTGCTCACCATTGCTTTCTCTAGCTCTTTTGGAGAAGGAGAACAAAATTGCCAAAAGAATTCAGATAAGGTGGTCTGATCATATGAAGAGTATTCATTTTCCTAAAAATAAAGACCTATCAAAGTTAAGCTTCTTTGGCAAAAAGATTATTCAGTGTCACATTTTCAAGTTCATGTCTCAATACCAGTCAAAATATAATTACCTTAATTGGGACAAGGTATCATAGTTTATGAAAGAACTGAGCTCTCCTTTGGATATGTAGGACAGCTGGTAATTTGAACTCTGTTATAAGTTGCTCTAGGTACTTCAGATATGACTGCATTCTTTTTGACCACTGCTGTCACTATGCTCTTGGTTTCATAGCTTCAATCTTGAGGTGTACAAAACAAGATCTAGATGACAGTAGAGTTTGAATATTACAATCTGCTCATTCTGAGTACAAAGGAAACCCTGCATCTCAGCAATCTGAGAGGTACACTTTCCTTGTTTAGGGGTATATGGACCCTCCTAAGAGACAGCAAGTTAAATCTGAGGCTCACAAGAGAGAACCCCTCTATTTGTAATTCACTGATGATGCTGGAGCCACTGAAGATGAATCAAAGATTTCTGTACAAAATTCTCTCTGCCTTTGTCTATCACAAATTTTACATCTATCCCATGACAGCAGTTTAATGTCATTTCTAGCAGCTTTTCAGAAACACTCAAAGCTAATTACTGTGTTCCATTTCTTTGGTAAACATGTTTTAATTTTAGAGAGGACGAATTTAAGTATTCTGTTCAGTTGTAGTCACTCTCTGCCTTCTTCAGGGACCCCTCTCACAAAATACTGTACCAACAAAGTAGTGAATTCTCATTTAAATCTTGGAGCAGTGGAAGCAGTGTCCCTGGAAGTCTAAGAGAAGGGATTTTCTTCAGATCTTTTAATCCCCATAAAAGAAAAGGGCTTGACACCCAGTTCTCTGTTGATCTAACCTGAGAGGAGTGTTAGGACACATGAGATACAGGTGTGACCCCACCAGCCACTAATGGCTAAACGAGTGTGTTCTCATGCCTGTCTCACAGGCACCAGAAATCCACTGAGACCATACATCTTGACCAACCACAGTTATTGTGCAGTAAGGAGAAGGAGATTCATATTCATGAGAATGTTGTATATAAACGCTGGACACACCTTGTGGAGAGTACGACTTAAATTTTACAAGCCTGATAATTCTGGGCCAAGATTTTCAAAACTAAGTGCCTAAATTGAAGCACCAAAATCCAGACTTAAGTATGAGAAGGCTGACTCCCTGAGAAAATGTTGCTGCTGTCTTTGTTTAGCAGCTTCTTATGTAACTTGTTTAATAGGAAAATAGCATTTATAAATAACATTTACCACCTACTTTCAGAAAGGACAAGGAGCCCCAGCTCGTGAGCCACTGATTAGTAATGAAGAGCAAAAACAGATGATGCTGTATTATTATAAAAAGCAGGAGGAACTCAAGGTAAAATAAAATCACGTTATGTTAAGTGACATGCAAATACAAATAAATAAAGTGGTGATTTTTTGCAGTATTTTCTTTAAAGCTTTCTTTTGTTACTTTTTTTGCAACAATTTTATTTGCAGAAATTAGAGGAAGATGACGACGACTCATTTTTAAATGCTGAATGGGCAGACAGTCATGCTTTGAAAAGACATTTTCATGGAGTTAAAGACATTAAGTGGGGACCGAGATGAAGCTCTCCAAACATCCTTTGATTCTTTAAAAATAAAAATTGCCTTACATTAATAACCCTCTGTGTATTAGAATTTCTCCGACAATAACAGTCTTGTTATTGGGTATTGTATATCTATTAAAAACTGTAGCAGCTATGGGGTAGCTGAATACAACCCATTGTGCTAATGTTCATAATTCTGCTTTAAAAGAAGTATGTAGTTAATTATTTAAATGCTGTAGTTTTAAAATATTTGAACTGTTTCATAGTAACATTCATATCTAATAAATATGAATTAGATGCCTGTGCTGGTAGTCTTCATATTTTCTTCTTTTTGTATTTGTTTCAAACAGTACAGTTTATCAAAGTTAGTGTGGCTGTAGAAAATCAGTGTTCATAGGCTGCATCTTAAATCTAATACAAAATCAGTGGGTTTGATTGCTGCTTTGCATATTAACAAGGTTAATATTAAGCCAGCAATTTTAGATTAATTGGTTTTTAGGCAATATTTTTATGTTTCACTTTTACTCTACATGCCTGTTTTTAATTTGGAATTACAAACCAAGATACTAAGTCCGGTTAATTTTATCATTTGTTAGAATTATGAGATTTTTATGTATAGGCTGACAGAAATCCAATTTAAAAGGTAAACATTACTACTAAGTGAGAATGAGATAATGAAAATAGCTCTTTGTGGAGGTGGGGGTTTTGAAATATAATGTACATGTAAGACTGGAAGCCAGATAACAATTCCTTGTTCAAAATTTTATAACAATTATATCTTTTTTTTCTTTTTCTTTCAATGTTATTATGTTAAAGCTAGCCAATTGCCCATCAAGAATGACTGGGATGGAGTCCTGGGCCCCACCCCATCTGGGCCCACTCCCCCCTTCCCTCCTGCTGCTTGGGGTCTGGGCCTGTTTCCCTGCTCCCTGCCGCAGCAGCCGGGGGGAGGGGAGGAGCAGGCCCGGGCCCAGGCCCAATGTGGAGGAGGACTGGGCCCAAGGATGGAGAAAAGCTGGGCCACTGTGGAGAGGGTGGGGAGCAGTGTGCCTGGGCTGAAACCGGTGGCGGCAGGAAGATGGGAGAAGCGGGGGAGTTGCCAACATGGGGGAGATGGGGAAGGAGTGGAACCGGGCCCGACGTGGGGCAGGAGGCCCACTCCTCCTCGGCCCCCCCAGCCCCCAGTGCCATGTTGGGTCGGGCCCACTGCTCCACCCCCCCCATGGTGGTGGTGGGGGAAGGGGAGGAGTGGGCCTAGGCCCGATACAGGGAAGGATCGAGGCTAGGGCGAAGCTGGGCCACCATGGCAGGGGGAGCAGCGGTCCCGGACTGACCTAGCGTTGGGGAGGACAGGAGGAGTGCTCTTGGGGCCAACGTGGCGGGTGGGGGGGGAGGATTGGGACTGGGCCCAAGGGAGGGAGGGGGCAAGCTCCTCTCCTGTCCTCCCTCAGCCACTGCCATGTTGGGCTGGGCCCGCTGCCCCTCTCCCCCGCCATGGCGGGCCAGCTTGTCCTCAGGCTCAGTCCTCCTCCCCCCCTCGGGCCCAGTTCCACTCCTCTCTTCCCCCCCTGCCCCCATGTTAGCTCAGAGCCCGCTCCTCCTGCCCCCCGGCCCCCACCGGGGGAGGGGGACCCCAGCAAGGTGACCATCCAGTTTTCTCTCGAAGATTTCCAGGGAAGGTGATTGCACAACTGGAGGACGCTTATTCCACAGTCTGGACACCCTGTGACAAAGTTTTTCCTAGTGTTAAGCCTGAAACGGTCTTTCAGGAGTTTGTAGCTGTTACTCCTGGTTTTCCCCAAGGGTGCCCTGGTGAACAGTTGTTCGCTGAACCCTTGATGGTATTCCCCTGATTTATAGTGGTAAGCTGCTATCAAGTCCCCTCTCCACCTTCTTTTTTTTAGACTGAAGAGACCCAAGTCCCTCGGCCTTTCCTCATATGACTTGCCATACAAGTCCCTGATCATACAGGTGGCTCTTCTCTGGACTCTCAAGCTTTTCCATGTCCTTGTTGAAGTGTGGTGCCCAGAACTGGACACAGTACTCCAGCTGTGGTCTCACCAATGCTGAGTAAAGCAGAAGAATCACTTGCTTGGTTTTGCTTGAGATGCATTGGTTGATGCATGCCAGGGTATTGTTTGACCTGCTGGCTGCAGCATTGCACTGACAGCTCAAGTTCATACTATGGTCTATTATTATCCCTAGGTCCCTTTCAGTCGTGGTGCTAGTCAGTTTGGCACCACTGAGCCTGTAAGTATATTGGGGATTGTTCGTCCCCAGATGGAGCACTTTACACTTCTCAATGTTGAACTTCAACTGGTTCTAATCTGTGCAACTTGCCAGCCTGTCTAGGTCTGCCTGTCTCTGCAGCTTATTTTCAAGTGTGACCACACTCCCTCATAACTTGGTGTCATCTGCGAACTTGGCTAGTGAGCTCTTCACCCCCACACCCAAATCATTGATAAAGAAGTTGAAAAGCACTAGACCAAGCATGGACCTCTGAGGGACACCACTGGCCACTTCTCACCAGGGCAACACAGATCCGTTCATCAGAACTCTGTGGGTCCTACTTCTCAGCCAGCTTCCTACCCACCTAACTGTCAAGCAGGTAAGCCTGCAATCGTCCAATTTTCCAGTGAGAACATTGTGGGATACCAGATCAAAGGCCTTTTGGAAGTCTAGGTATACAGTGTCGAACTCCTCCCTCTTATCCAGGTGGCGAGTTACTTGGTCATAGAAGGAGTTAAGATTGATAAGACAAGACCTGCCCGCAATGAAGCCATGCTAGCAGTCATTCAGAATCCTATCTTCTGCAAGCATATTGCACGTAGACTCCTTGATGATTTTTTTCCAGGATTTTCCTTGGGATAGAAGTTAGGCGAATTGGCCTATAGTTGCCCAGGTCCTCTCTCCTCCCCTTCTTGAAGATGGGTATAACATTGGCCGTCTTCCAGTCTTCAGGGACCTCCCCTGAGTGCCACGAGTTTTGGAAGAGTTTTGTCAAAGGTCCTGCAATGACTTCAGCCAGCTCCTTCAGCACTCTCAGATGAAGTTCATCCAGGTCTGCTGCCCTATAAACATCTAACTTTTCTAACTGATCATACACCAATTCCATGTCAACAGTACAAAGGCAGTCATTCCCAACATGCCCATTCTGAACCTTATCTAGTATGACTTTCCCCTTGGTCTGGTGAAGTACCAAAGCAAAGTAGTCATTCAGGAGTTCAGGTTTCTCCTGAGTGTTGGTAACCAGCTGTCCTGAGCTGTTAAGCAATGGCCCAGTGCTTCCATTTGTTTTCCTCCTGTTCTCTACGTACCTAAAGAAGGACTTCTTATTGTCCTTGATTTCTGTTGCTAGTTTAAATTCAGTCACCGCCTTAGCCTTTCTAATCTTCTCCCTGCAAGTGCGGGCTGTTGTTGTATAGTCTTCCTTGAGGACTGTCCCAGGCTTCCATTGTTTGTATGCCTCTTTCTGCTTTGTCAAGAGGACCACAATATCCCTGGTAAGCCAAGAAGGCTTACCAGCCCTTCTGCTACTTTTCCTCCACATGGGAATTGACTTCTTCTGGGCTTTGAGGATCGTATCCTTGGGGAACGACTACTCTTCATGCACTCCTTTCATCTTCGGTCCCTGGTCCCTCAGTGCTTCCCCTACTATTGCCCTGAGCCTGTTGAAATTCGCTTTTTTTAAGTCGAAAACTTCAACCCTGCTAGCTGATTTGCCTGCCTTGTAAGGGACAGTGAATGTGACGGTTTCATGGTTGCCATCGCCCAGGCTACCCTCTATATTCAAGTTGCTCACCAAATTGTCTCCTGCACTTCCTGAGTCAGGTAGAGCTCTTCAATACAGGTCAGGAAGCAACGCAAGCAATCTGACTTAGCTGAGTGTTCCTCCCAAGAGATGTCAGGGTAATTGAAGTTTCCCATGATGACCATGTGCTTGTGGCCTCTGCCAGTTCTCTAGAGAACCATTCCCTCAGCTCTTGCAAGAGTGGCTCTCCTAGTGTCCCCAGCTTCGGAGCTTTCTTGTGCACCGGTCCCTGGGCATGCTCTAGTCAGCGTTTCCCCCGTCCCCCAGTGATCTTAGTTTAAAGCCCTATCTAAAAGTTCAGCCATCCTGGCCAAGAAAAGGGACTTACTTCTCCGCACGAGGGGAATGCTGTCCCTTCCCAGGAGTCCTTTCTCCCAAAAGTGTGTGCTGTGGTCGAAGAAACTGAAGCCCTCTTGGTAGCACCACCACCAGAGTCATTGGTTCACTTCTTTGACACATCCTTCTCTCCTAGGTCCATGGCCTGCAACCGGGAGCACAGAGTGAAAGACTACTTGTGCCTCTGACCCCTTGAGCCCAGCCCCCAGAGCCCTGTTGAAACTCATGGCCCAGTCCAGATTTCTCCTGGCTGTCATTCATGCCCATGTGGATGAGGAGCATGGGGTAGTGGTCAGAGGGCCGGATGAGCCTAGGGATCCTCTCTGCAACATCCTGGATGCTGGCCCCAGGGACGTAGCAGACCTCACAGGCTAGGGGGTCCAGACGGCAGATGGGTCCCTTGGTACCCCACCAAGGGGTCTCCTACCACCACCCTGCGTCTCCTCTTGGGGGTGGCAGTTTACTGACTACCCACCTTCTCTGACGTCTCCATCAGAGCCTCCTCATGCATGATGAGGGGAGCATACCTATTGTGCAATGTCAGGGGAGGGGTAGCCTTGGCCCTGCATGTCCTGAAACCTGAGACAGCTTCTACCAGGTAGCTCCAGGTGGGTCTTTTTGGCCAGCCTTCTTGTTGGCCACTTTCTCCTCTTCTCTTCTTCATTCTTCAGGAGACGAGCATGGCTGTAGTCATCAGTCTTCTGCTCATGGGCCCTGATGGCACAAAGTCTGCCTACATCGGCCTGAAGCTCAGTCACCTGGGACTCCAGGGACCTCACTAAGGAGCATACACCACAGGTGGGGGTGACTTTGTTCCCATTCCCAGTTGCTGGCAGTCATTCCAGGCAACCCCCACATCCTGGTGCCAGGGGCTCTGTCTGGGTGGAGGCTGGAACCATGGGTTTCATCTGGGTTCAGGCCTCAGTGGTGCAAGGGAAGGGACCACCAGCTGGGGCCGAGGTGGGAAGCTGCGGGGTATGACTTGTCCCCACCGTTGTATGGTAATAGGTTATGCTACTACCCACGAACTGTAAAAAATCCACATGTAAGTCCAGCGGCGAGCGATGGTGCACCCCATGACTGGCAGCACTCCCCGCTTAGGCAATGGGCAAGGGGGGCAGGTGGGAGCGCCAGTGCCCCCCCGTGAGCACTGACTGGGGTATGGGGACACCAGATGA